ACTAGCTGGGCTAACTCATTTCACTATGTTGGTAATTTTGATGTTGAACTGTTAAAACTGTTTCAAATTTGATTTGAAGATAGGCTATACTTTTATGGTTCCTGAATCCACACCTATTTCTAGGAATAGTTTGTTGGACTCAAGACTACTTGGTTAGCTTGAGATTCTCCTCCCTGCATTGAATAAATACAAACTCGTGGCTAATTTTCCTAACATGAAAAATCCATATCATTTTGATTCCAGGTCTAACGGTACCAGTTAAATTTTGGGACTTTGGTGTGCTTTCGCATAATGTAATAATAATATTTCCTTCCTTATGCTACTAAACCGCCTCCAAGATCAACAAGGAGACGAAGATATATGATCTTTTTTTTGGGGGAGGGCGGGATCTGACGTGAAAGCTATACATAGTTGTATGCGTGAGACCATCAAGAAACTTGGCTAAAGTGACCTTGACTACCGCTTTCTCTAATGAATGCAATGACTTTAAAAACGTATGGAAATTAATGGAAGCGAATGTCTTTTACAATACCCCCTGGCATGATTCTGGTGAATTACACTTCCAGGATTGTTTCATCCTACAGCAACTGTGATTCCTAATTTTAATATAAATCATTAGTGCTTGCATTTGTTTTGCTTCGTGTTGTCCAATGCTTTACTGTTTTTAGGAAAGGTCTCTTATTAAATCGATTAGCCTGACTTACTTTTGAATATAACAGGATAACTGAGATTGCATGAAAAATAAATCGTATATTCTGGGAAGACTGTTAGTCCCTCAACTTGGAAATTCAGGAATGTAGTGCCTGTATTAACATCATTTTACTATACTTATTCAAGTTGGTATCTGCGGTATAGGATAAAGCAATCCGGTTGTGCTCGATTTCGTCGATTTGAAACTGCGGATATCATCTTTATATAAATACGATGAGGAGGAGGAGGAGGAGGAGAAGGAGGAGGAGGATGGTGGTGGTGGTGGTGGTGGTGGTGGTGATCCATAATTATGGTTTCTGCTAATAAGATTAACTTTATTTTTCTTGAACACATTCAATTTTTTCGAATGTATTGTGTTGTAATTACGCTATTAAATGCAAAGAGAAAACAAAACCCAGAGGATTGAAAAATATTGGGACAATTCTCTTATTTTCTCTTATTTGATGCTTAGAAAAGGAAGCGAAATCTGTTATCTTTTGCAACCCTTAGCTTAAAATAGCTGTTTATTTTAGAAATATGCGCTGACATTTCACAACGTGAAAGCAGATTCACGTGGAACTGCTTGTTTTTCACCAAACCACAAGCCCACGATGCATGTTTCTCTCGGCTACCAATTTGGTATTTTCTGCAAATTAATGAAGCTACATAAATCACATTTTGCAAAAGGATTGCTGATATCAGTGGTTATTGCATATGTTGTTTTTGTGTCAAAAGAAATTTCATTTGCAATTATCCGCAATGCAGACGACATAATATTGTAGTTTTCTTTGTTCTTGCATTTTATCTGTCATGCTTATACTAGTCGGTTCAGCTAATTTTGTAAACTTCCCTTTATGGAATTTTTCACTCTTTTGTTACGCCTAGGAAGATGAATTATTATTAGTTATCAATACCTTTTATTGGTTTGCTTTTGAGTGGCATTTTGAAAATTATATGACACAGGTAGGATTCTATAGTAATATTTTAGGCTGAATGTGATTAAAACATTCATACAGTCGTAGTTTGCCTATTTCATTGTAGCACAAAAGATGTATATTCCAATACAATGATAGCACTATATAAGTTCCCTTTCTAATGAAAATTTTACATAAAGACTAATTAACATCATATCAGATTTAACAAACTTCACATTATATCAAATTTGACAATTTCCACAGTGTATAAATTTTTTAAAATTTCTCATCCTATCAGATTTTACAAACTCCACCATATATAAAAGTTTACAAAGCCACTTTCTATAAAATATTACAAACTCCACATTATATCAAATTTTACACACCCCACATTGTATAAAATTTTGCAAACTCCACTTGATATCAAATTTGGCTAACTCAGCATTTGATATTTTTAAAATACAATATTCACATTGCATAAAAATGTAAAAACTGCACATCACATCAAATTTGAAATTTCACAATGTGTGCAATTTTTATAAACTCCACGATATCAAATTTGACACTCCACATTGCATATAATGTTTCAGAACTGCAATAATTTTATGCAATATATTTTTCTTCTTGATAATTTAGTTTAATAATTGTCTTTATCGCACAGCTTTGCTATTAATTTTAAATCCTCAACAATACATGTTCCTGGTTAAAAAGAAATCTGTTTTTTTACTCTTGCAGCTGAATCATATCTTTTTCTAAAACACGTGCTTATTTTTAACCAAAGTGAATTTTCTTGCGTGCACGCTTACGTTGAATATAAGGTACTATTGCATTTAAAATATAGTGAGAAAATTGGCATTCCTTTGCAGTATTGGTCCTATTTTCTATAAAGGGTTACACAGAAAGAGACAATGTTATGTATGGAAGACTTTATTTAGTAAAGTTCTATGTTAAAAAGAACATTTGGACATACAATAATGATTCTATGAAACAGAAAGAATTACTATCACACTTTTCATCCAAAAGTACTACATTCCAAATTTTACTACCTTCTAATACTAAGATAAAGGAAGAAACGAACTGATTCGTGCAGTGTAATTCACTTTAAGTGATGTAATAAAATGCAAACAAGGAAATATTTCCCTATGCATTGAACAGTTATTTGTTTGCTCTCGGGGAAATTTTAAATCGGTTTCGTGAAGCATTTTTCTGCCATTCACAATCATTTTAAAAGTATGACCCCATTAGGAAACTCTTGTTAATAGCTGCGTACAGTACCAAAACTGGGCAAAGAAACATTATGAAACTCGGTACAAACATTTCAACGGTTGTCTGTAATTAGAAACATGATGAGGATCTTAGTTTAATAGACGGTATTCTCCAGAAACCTTGGTCGTAAAGCACATAGTGCAGTCTAATGTAGAAATAATGGCACAGCTATATCATATACTGTCCAGCTGAATAAGGAATACTTTTTTATGAGAAGGATAAACCATACAAGAAACAAAATAAATGTATTGATAAAGCTTAATTGTTACCTAATAAATCCAATAAAACTGTGCAAATCTAAACTTGGGTGGTATAGTGGCTGGAGCGTCCACCTCTGATGTGGGATGTCGCTGGCTTGAACTCCGGCTAAGTCATACCAAAAACTTATAAAAATGGTACCAACAGTTGCCTATCTAGGCGATCAGTATTAAGAGGCTAGTGTTAGGACTGCTTGGCCTGGTGTCAGGATTACGTGGCTGTGGGGGATATGATGTTACATGTCTGTATCATTATGCCTCATTTCTAGACATCACTATAAACAGCCACACTGCAGACATTGTAGTAATATGACTAAAAAAGTGTTACAACTACGTTAAAAATCCAAATCACACGCATAATCAACTTGTTAAATGGACAATAAGAAGAGCAATTAGTTATTTAGACCTAACATATGTTAGTCTCATTACATTTACTACATTAATCTTTAATTAGAGAATGCTCTCTCTCTCTCTCTCTCTCTCTCTCTCTCTCTCTCTCTCTCTCTCTCTCTCTCTCTCTCTCTCTCTCTCTCTCTCTCTCTCTCTAGCCCGAACTTTGCTCGAGACAAAACACGTAATCAAAGGCTACAATAAACGTTAGTAATTTTAACAGGTACAATGATGGGTATTTTCTTAAACCTCCTGGAATCCTATCTGTTATAAAAAGAGAGCTTTGTAGTGTAGTAGCTTCCTTTTGATAAATGCTTAGTTTTATTCGCAATTTTGGGTTTTCCATACAAGCGAATATCTTGTTAAGATCTATTCCTATATTATAGGTTGGAATCCTATCTCAAAAGTATATCGGCCGCTTAATATTTTCTTGGCTGTTGAACCAACTTCCTGTAGAAAGTTATTCACGGATGCGCCGACTGTGACAATATCATTAGAGTATGTAACTTTAATCGAGTATTTTTTTGCTTACTCTAGTTAACCCGCTCGACCAAGATACCTGCCTATACATTATCCAGCCATAGTGCGCAAATGTAACATCTATAACTCGAATTGCACTCCTCATGTCATACTGTGGCACGGTTATCTTCCGCCAGCCTATAGTATTTTGTATCAGATTTACTTAATCCTGCCGACTATGTGGACATCTGTAATTACATAAAGTAATACGATATCATAATACAGGTGACGTCAATAACTTTGTGAACGAGGACACAAATATCTAGCAGAAATGTCTACGAAAGAAAATTAAATGAAACGACCTTATGTAATACTAGACAGTGACTGCACATCATTCGTATATTAAATCGATGGTTAAATTAACTGTAGTGCCGGAGAATACAATGGTTTCGAGATGTTCTAGAACGACGAAGTAATATCAATAAAGTGTATTGTTTTCTTTTACGGATAGAAAAAAGACAGTTATTTAGTTTGAGCGTACTTTGTCGTGTGAGAAAGCTCGTTATAACTGCTAAAAAGGCACAAGTGGAAAACATATTGTAATGTCTGTAAAAGGGTGTGTTTACTAGTACGAGCGGAAGTAACAAGCAAGTATGGAAGGAATTTAGCGCAAATCCTCCAACATAAGGTGAAATGACAGTTGCCTGAATCCCATCTAGCTGGCCAAACTAATTGTATTACTTTTCTTGTTAAAAGACACCACAAACACCCCACCCCCCGAAAAAAAACAAACAAAAAACACACCCCTACACAAAAACCCATGTGAGTGCTGGATTTGTTATGATCGTCCACCTGATGTATTACTATCTGGTAATTCATTTATTAAAAGAAATAGGAGGGTTCTTATGGGTTGCCTACCTTAAGCCAATATAAAAGCTGATCAGATATTCAACAAATGTTTTATCGTTGAAATTTTTATGTACTGTTCTACTTGTTAGTAAACGTCCCTATATATAAAATTTTCTGACCGCTCTTATGGCCTAAGTGGTTTGACTGTCTGCCTCAGATGCGGGAGGTCACGGGTTCGAACCCCGGCTAAGTTAAACCAAATACTTTTAAAATGGTACTAACATCTTAATCGTTTAGAACTCGGCATTAAGAGCTTAGTGATACGACTGGTCGGCCTGGTGTCTGGATGATATGGTTAGATGGGACATGATGCCACGTGTCGGTGGCATGATGTCCCAATGCTAGACATTGCTATAAACTGTCACTCAGCAGACATTCTAGCGACATGACTAAAATGTTAAAGATAGTTAAAATTACAAAAACAACAACCCCCCCACACACACACACACATTCATTAGTACCCACCTATTTTCCTGATTAAGCTAGTCGAATTTTCCATTATAACTTTTTGTAAATGAACAAATCATTACATACGAAATTTCAATCAAGTACGCATGTCAAAGCCAATAAAAGATTATATATTTTTGTCCATAAGCTGTAATTTGCTTACAGGTGCTCTAGTGATATCATATATATTAATCACTTTTTTCTGTAACGACATCAGATTGTTGTTGTTCGTCATTCGTTCTCGAAAACGCCCATGACTTCACGTCTGGGCTAGTCTGTGAGTGCTTGTGAAGCCATTCCGAGCTCTGAAGAGTCTAGGTCAATGAGGGCAAGGAGTTGCTGAGGCTTGGATAGACAGGGTTTGCGTTGGCTCTGCTCATTCTGACGTTAATGTTTGATTCGGCGCTCTTCTAAAGCAGCTGCGACAGAATTCATCTGGTGACGTCATGCAGCACAGTTTTCGGAAAGCTGCTTTCAGCGATCTGGATCAATTCTTTTTTTCTTACATGTCATATATAGCATGGCATCATATATAGCTGGTGCCCAGAAGGACCCTCGTATTTCTCCCATTTGTCTCTGACAATTTTGCCCAAAATTCTTGTGAGGATCGAAGATATAACTCTTACAAAATCTCAAAAAGGACCCATATCAGAATCATCTGAGAAGGATATGTAATGTCTCATACGTTATGGTAAAATATAATCCCTATCCAGGACTATTTCATATATTTAACGTCCGATATCTCTAAATAAGATCCTTTAATAGGAACAATTCTCTGAGCGAAAAACTGTCAACGAGAATGTGAAATTAAACATTTTTAAATCAAATGTTGATACAAGAAGCCCACTGTGTACCAATGTTATGGTCTGTGAAAAATAATCCCCCCCCCACGATTTTCTCTGATCCTACATACGGGATTTTGTCGGTACTTCTTCTGAGCGCTCAACCAGTGCCATGAACTAAAATCTCAAAGAATGGTCCATGTCCAACTCCACGGTGTAGATAGTGTTAGGGACCATATATGGAGAAAAGATATAACGTCATTTCGGTCTTTCATATAATCACAACTAATTCGATGTATCAAAATCTTTTTGACTAATTTCCTCTAAACCGTTCCTACTCTTGGTACAGGTCCTTAACAATAAACTTCTAAAGAGGTGTTGAAATAAAAATCATCTTGGTAGGGGTTAACGTGTTGTAAAAGGTCGATAGATTCTTTCTGCTATTAACACACTTTACAAAGTCAGTACCTATAATAAGCCACAGTTTTATATCTGATACAGCTTGACAAAATTTCCTCAATACTTCTTCGAAGAGCCGAATATATCCCTTTATGCAAAGTCTAAAAGATGGCTTCATGACAATAGCCTCTGAGGAGGCGATGTATACTTAAAATGTAATTACATTATGGGTATTCTAATATTTGCTTCAAATTTACTCCATATGTCTCGAAATCGTCTTGACGAATTTTACCCGTTTTTAGTGGGACGAATTCATGACTAAATATTGTCAAAGATGGCTTCAGATCGAATCCCCTAGGTTGTGTACCCATATTGTTCAACTTTGATTTTATCAGTTCTCACGTTGCCAGTTTTATGTTGCCGGTATCTATAAACACTCTCTTCTTTCCCTGATTTCTCTTCACGAATTCTTTCAACACGTTCGTCTTGGGAGTCGAATATATCCCTAAGTCCAATATAATCAAGGAATAATGACTCTTCAGTAGGAGACTGTACTGTTCATGAACAAACTTGAAATGTTATCACTATATTTGTGTTGTTATAGCTACTATATATTAACCTCCATATTTCTCGAAATCGGCTGAACTAAAATTCTCTAAATGTTTACTACTATTGCAGCATGCCCTAAAGTACAGTCTTTCAATGAGAGTATGAGCTCGAAGCTTTCTCAATGAGCGTTCACGTAGTGTGATATATTGATAGAATCGGTCCACATCTCTGACGGTCTTATACAGCTGGTACCCAATGAATTTCGCTCAGTTTTTTGTGGTTTGAATATATCCTACATGAAAAGAAGGGTCCATATAAAAATTATTTCAGGAGAATATTACTTTCCCAACAGGGATGCAATAATTTATTACCTTCGGCGATTTCGTACCGGGCTTCCGGATATTTAGCCCCACTTTTCCGCAATCGTGTATTCGAATTTTCTCATACCTATATAAAAACTACAAAGGAGGAGTAAACTCAAAGTTCTTTAAGTAGTTATTCTGTAAGTATAAGATGTTGATATAATCGATACCAGTGTATATGCTTTACACAGATGGTACTCCATGTTATTTATCAGATACATTTTGACGAATTTCGACAATATTTCTAGGTGCCGATGATGTTCCTATATATAAAATCTCAAAAAATGATCACTATCTATGCGAAGAAGATAAAAACAACGATTTTCTTTATATCATCTTTAATATTGTTAGAGTAGTGGAAAGTCTCATGCTTATCTTCATCTTTGAGGAAAGTACACTCACGCACAATCACCATTCATCTCACAGCCGGCCTTTATATATACACTGCACCACATGACCTATTACATAACCCGAAGAGTCTTTTCTTAACGTGACCGTCCAGTTCTCAATTCGGCTATACTTATCAAAACGACAGACTGAAAAGGTGCAATGGCAAATCGCTGCAGCCTATTTTCGGCCGTACGGGCAATTAAAAATTCGTTTTTTTATGGTATTTGTGAATCGGCCGGTCGAAATTTCTGTAAATTTTTTCTAATCTTCGACATAGTCTCTGACCAAAATATTGTAGAGGTTTAAATAAACATTTTCAAAGTATGGGTTCACCTAATGAAAAATATGTTACTCTCCATACCGGTTTACATCACTTCTACCAGTATAGGTATTCGTCTATCCCCGATTCGTAACGAGAAAGTTTGAAAATATTTATTTTTAATATATGGAGGAAATTGTAGAGTTCAATATGAACTCTGCAATATTATATCTATGGCTCATTTAGCTTCCTATTTCTCTAACCTGGCACAACTATTTTTCAATAATTTTTTCCTACTGTTTAAACAGTTCCCGACCTGTAAACTGTCTAAGAGGCGTTGAACTTAAGATCCTTTGGGTTCAACTGGTGCAAAATGTTGATAGAATCGTTCCACATGGTACCTCTTTTGCATTGTGGATACTCAAAAGTTGCCTCTTATTTCGCTGATTCCTTCGACTAAATTCATCAGAACTTTTTTTTTTTGTTTTTAACTATCGTTTACGTTAAACTCCTAAAAGCGGATATTATCAACTATGTTTGGAAATGTGAATATCGGGTCCATAGATATTTGTAGGGTTGATTGATTAATTGACTGATTCAAATCAAAGTTGATTGAATGATTGAACTTCATTACTACCTATGTTATACCCCGCACATATTTCTTGAAATCTGCTTTACAATCATTGTTCTAATATTTGTTACTGTTGGAAATGTTTCAAAATTGGAAGCTGTCCGAGAGGGTTTCATATGAAAATACTTTAAGCCATCGTTCACGTCTAAGCTAATTTTAATATAATTGGTCCTCCCCCTCTCTCTCTCTCTCTCTCTCTCTCTCTCTCTCTCTCTCTCTCTCTCTCTCTCTCTCTCTCTCTCTCTCTCTCTCTCTCTCTCTCTCTCTCTCTCTCTCTCTCTCTCTCTCTCTCTCTCTCCTTTGTATATGTGACAAACAAAAATACTCCTATCTCCCTGATAGGGATCGATTAATTATATCGTCTCCACGTATATACCTCATGTTGGAATAGGTATTATGAGGGCCCCAAACAGTGAACAACACTGATGCAGCATTTTGTAGATCGGGCATATGCAGGTGATCAGGCTATAAGGAAGAAGCGAAAAACTCGATATCATCACTACTGAATTGGGAATAGATGACTGGTTACTTATTTTTTATTGAATAGGGAACTGGTTACTTATTCATTACTGAATCGGGAATAAGAATTAAGAAATTGGTAACCGATTTGATCCCGCTGTTTAGTATAACATTTTAAACAATATTTGGTCAGACAGATGTCTAAAACCAAATTGTCGGTTCTGTGCCAGACGGAACAAAATATTACCAAGCGAGACGTTGATGATTAAGAGCACCGTGAATTATATATTAAAAACCAATCCCGCGCTTGGTAGTCCTCTACGTACGAATTTGAAGGATAAGGAGATTTTGTCCAATGGGTTACTGTGACCTTGACCTTTCCTTGAAATTATGTGGCCTTGATCTACAGTTACTGTACAGACATTATTATATCTTAATTGGGACTATTGCTATGATTTGGACCTCTGACCTCAAGACCACACATTCTATGGACTTCTTTATTATTCTAAGTCCAAACCATCCAAAAGGTTCGATAGAGAAATTGACTCTAAAGCTTTAAAACATGCCAAGGCTCTATATAATATTATTTATAAACAGTGAAATCATGTTGATGTTAATGAACGAATTTCTTGCATTAAACATACACTGATTTATGTTGTATCTATAGGAATGTTTCATTAAAATTCAATCCATGACAATAAAGCCACCAAACCTCATACAAATATTGAGTGTGCAAAAAAGAACGGCATGGTAAAATATTTAAATTGCACAAGGAAAGAAACTATATTATACCTATTACATCTTCAAACAAGACTTGAATTGTAACGGTTTTTATAGCTACTGATATATCATATATGTTTGCTGCAAACATTTGACATTTTTCAGTAAATACAGCTAAATAGGCTGAAATTTAATGT